TTTCTGTCTGATATTAAGAGAAGAACATACATTGGGGGTGTATGAGATCAGGTTGCAGAAGAGAATATTTGGCCCAAAGAGGGATGAAATAATAGGTTCGAGAAAACAGTATAACTGGGAGCTTCATAACTTGTACTCCTTGCCACGCATATAGATTTAGAGGAAAAGTGGACAGTATACAGGGTTTCGATGGGAACACAAAAGGAAAAGGACAACTAGGGAGACCTAAATATAGATGGGAGCACAATATTAAAATGTATATTGGAGAATTAGGATGGGGTATGAACTTCATTCATCAGTCTCAGGATAGAGACCCTTGTTAACATAGTAATGAACCTTCAGGCTCCATAAAACATAGGGAATTTCTTGAGTAGTTGATTGACTGGTGGCTTCTCAAAAAGAATGTGGCTAGATACAGCCAGTTGCTTAGTTAATGATCCTGTCTGCCTAAATTTATTTAGAATGTAGGAATAGATTTTTTTCCTTTAGAACTGTAACATCTAAAAATTTATGCCAAAGTCTTTTCCTTACTTTTCACATGGGCATCAAACATGAACACTCACTTCAATGTGTCTCAGGTGCCATTTTTACACAAGAAATAACATGTAAGATTTGAGGCTTTCACGGCAGTGACTATGAAGAAAGCAGTCTTCTGGGATTTGGCACCATGTATATGTGATGTTAACCGACGTTTTGGAGGAACGTATCGCCTCCATCTTCAGGGTAGAAGAAAAAGTATAAAAAATCTGCAAGCGACAAGACCGTGAGAACGGTAAAAGCAGTCTGCTTGCAGATTTTTTATACTTTTTCTTCTACCCTGAAGATGGAGGCGATACGTTCCTCCAAAACGTCGGTTAACACCACATATACACGGTGCCAAATCCCAGAAGACTGCTTTCTTCAAGAAATAACATGACTGTGTGAATGTTTAATGCAGCAGCATGGGCTTGGGATTACAGTCCACAGGCACATGAAACATAAGCTCACTTCCTGGCAGCTATTCAATGATTTTGTAGGGCGATAAAGGTAAAAGGTAAAGGCAAAGGTAAAATTGTCCCTGTGCTTAATTAACGACTTTGCCATCAAGATATATATGGGGAGTGGAGGTACAGCTCCACAATTCTTACAATTGGCACTTGATGGAGCTCAGTGGTCAGCTTCACATGCTGGTCATATTACTCCTGTAGAAATAGACCCCGTTACCCATTGGATAGGAGGCTGGGTGGCCCCAGACTAGTCTGGCCACTGTGAAAGAGAGAAAAATCTTGCTCCTGCCATGAATCAAAACCCAAATGTCCAGTCTGTACCCCGTTACTATATCAACTGAGCTATCCCAACTTCTTTTATTGTGGTAATAGTAAAGAGGAATTGTAATGCCTACAGATTGTTGGGCTGTCAACTGTATGGAATGCAAGTTGACATGACTGGTATGTGATCTGTCAGAATGGCCAAAATTTTGTGGCAAGCTCTCAGATAATCATCCTATATTATCAAACAATACCCTTCGTTGAGTGCTCCTACAAATATGTACATTTTATTTGTATGTATCTTACAGAGCTTACAGACATTTGTCCATTCTGTAAAAATGATGTTAAAAGTCAAGAATTTTCAAACTTGCACCAGCAATCACTGCATTACTGGCAAAGAGGCATGACAGGCTGATATATTTTAATGGACACATTTGTGATGAAACAGCCAAATGGGAAAATTCAGTTGCCTGTCTCAGCTTCTCAAGTCTTGCGGCATTCATGACATATGCCATATTCTTTAAATCGGGGTTTATCAACCACCAGTCTGTGAAATTTTCATTGCCAAAGAAAACAAACTGACTGATTTTTATTAAAAATTTCTTAACATTAAATGCCAATGGAGTTCCTTTAACAAGCATTTATCAGTTTCTGTATTTAATGGCCTTTCAAATTTAATGCACATCTACATCTATATGATCTTAACAACCTGTGGAAGGAAATTTAGATATTTTACCAGCCTGCTGTACACTTTAGCTGGAGAAACACTGCTTGTGAGCACCTTACAAATGAAAGCCTCGGAAGCAGGGCAGACACTATGCACTACCTTTCTTCTGTGTAAATCACCATTTAGAAAATCTCACATGCTGTAGTCATAATGAAGTGGAATTCAATCTTGCTGAAAGTAACACTTTTCATTGCTGTATATTTCAACAATGCATGGCACAAATTTCAAAGAGAATGGTTCAGTGGTTCCTCTGGATGACAGATTTCAGCTCACTGTTATCCCTGATACATTAACTACTTTCTCTACTATCACATGATTGTCACTGGTTCAGCACACACCTGTGTTGACTGATAATAGGATCTTTAATTCTGAAAGCATCCTCATCAAAGGCTTGAAAGAATCATTTTAATTACATATGCATATAAATGACTCACAAAACACAAGCCAAGAGTCTGAATCGACTTTGTTCACAGCAAGAAACAGTTTGGTAAACAGGGCTTCAATTTCACATTATGCAGAATAAGATGAACACTGGTTTTATAGATAAGTCTGATGAGCGCATTGTCTTAAAAGATGTTCCAGATGACCATGAGAAAGCCTGTAACACTTTCACCACTAGCTAACTTGCAAAATCTTTAACTGCCCTTTTTCACATCTCGCTATCTCATATCTGCTGCAAATTAATCTCACTATCTTAAAGTAACTAAACATGTTAGCGGTTCAGTTTCAAACTAATTTTTCTAGTTTGCTGCTATTTTCCACTCTCATACAGCAGCACTTAAGAATCCACTTCTAACATTCAAACATCAAAGTTCCACTATTTTTAAGTGAGGAATACCACATAGTTGGGTGTAACATAAATAGCATACCACTAATGTCATCAAGCCATATCATTATTAAGGAATTTCATTATAAGACACCGTCATGCTGCTATAAGCCCACCCTCAGTTCCCCCACAACAGACCCAGCCAGCTTTCTTTCCAAGCACATTCATGGCATAATAAACTGAAGGCCCTGAACACCATTTTATATAAAAACTTATCACCTGTATATTTACATGTTATAGGAATGTTCAAAGGATGTGTATATTACTGTATACAAAGAGGTGCACAAGTCCCCATACACTTAATACTGAAAGCAATATTATTCAATGTAATCATTAAATTGGAGATGCATAAGTCACAGTGTAGTTGGTAGCACTGTTTTCTCCTATATACTTTGTCTATGTAGTGCTCTGGCTTGTCATTATCAGTGCTGCACTTGTCATCTCACTTGTGCATTGTCTTACTGTCAAATGTGGCAGGAAATTTAAGAGCACTAAGTCATTGTTACATATGCCTGTCTTGCAGCAAAGTTCCTGTTGCTCTTGCGAGCGGTTTCCTCGTTCAAGCTGTTATGAATGGCGTGTTTTCTTTCATATGAAGTTATAAACAGCAGAGACGTGGTATGTGCTGTGTTTATAATATCATATTGCCCTGAGCTGGCCACACTAACACAGTCAATTGGAATTCTTAGAAGAGGGATGTCCAAAAATTTATTCTTGCAAGATCGATTGATT